CGGCGTGGGCTCTTGCAGGCAGCCGGCAGCCCGGGGCATCAAAGCTTGGGGAGGGCCCCATTTCTCCCTTTGATTCTCCCCCCCCGCCTCACCCCGCCTTTTTGCTTCTTTTTTTTCCTTTTTTTTGCCCTTTTTTTTTTTTTTTAAGCCGGGGGAGGGAGGAGAGCGCGGCCACGTTACACCCCTCCCTTCCTGCAAATCCCCGCTTGCACTGCAAACAATCTGCCTTCCCCATTGCATCCAAGGGAGATAGCAACAGCAACATCATCACGGCAAGCCGGATGGGATAACGGAGGGGAGGCTGCTGCTGAGGGAGAAAGGCACACAGGCACACACCAGCTCGATGTTGCCAAAGCGGTAGGAGCCGCACGAAGAATAAGCCATGCTGCCCCGTGTGTCTGGCGCATTGTGCTCCATCCGAGCCTTTTAGGAGGAAGAAGAGAATTATCTGCTCCGATTTTTTTTTTCCTGCCAGCGAGAGTGCGACAGACTTGCGATGGTTGAATGTCAATGCCTGTGAGAGAGAACAACAGTCAGAGGAGGAGGAGGGCAGAAGGGGAGGAAAATGAAGGTGGGGACGGTGGTGGAGAGAAAGAAGCAGCCTCGTCCAATGCATCAAAAGGAGGTCCCTGCAATTGCTGATAGAGCCCTGGCCGCCTCGCCATCCACAATGGTCTGTACAAGCTGCCAATGCGTTTGATGACGTTCCTGTTTTGTGAAAGGAGGAAAGGAAACGTGACCATGTAAGATCCACGTTTCCCCGGTCAATTACATGCGAAGAATAGATCCGATTTCGACGGGGTTTTTTTGGTCCAGGATGGTATCAGCTTAGGGAATAATACAGCCGCCTTCCCTCACCAATTTCGCTCTGATTTTTTTTTTTTTTTGGTGTGGTCCAGACAGCTGCTGGAATAGAGAAGGTCAGAATATATAAATATATATAAAAATATATATGATATATATATATTATATATATAAAAATATATTTATCTCAGTACATCTGGGATTAAGCTCACTGAATGCTAATTATTTCTTTCAGGACTTTTAATATTTACAATGAAATCTTTTAAAGGCAACGGTAAAATCTGAAGCCACCTGGGAGTACAGTGTTGGAAACGTAGGGTGTTTTCCCACAAACAATGTGAAGGTCTTTTTTGTCAAAGAGGCAATTTTGATAATAACAACAGCTACCAATTTTGCATTTTGATAGCCAGACCGGCTGCTATTTTGTCTGGGTGCACACCGGGTCTCGTTGTGATCGGGTTTTATTTTTTATTTGAAAAAAAAATTATTAAAAAATAGAAGAAAAAGGAAAATTACTTGAGATGCCAAATACTGTCGAAAGAACCATATTCTCCCTCCTCCCCACACCCACCGGAGACGTGGACCCTTCTTTTTTACAGGCTTAGGAGTTGCGAGAGCCGAGCAGGGGCTCCCTCCCGGGCCCGCCGCCCGCGCCCCGGACCCTCGGGCGTGGGAGATTTATTTCCTCCTCCCGCTGATTTCTGAACAAACTTGTGGACGGGGGGTTAAGAATCCCCCAGGAGCGCAGAGTCGGGGGTTATTTTGGCGTGGGTTTTTTGTCGTTTTTTGTTTATTCATTGTCATCCTCGGCGGATTTCAGCGGGCTGCCGGGGGTTTCACCCCCTCGCCCTCCGGCTCTGCCTTCGTCCTTTCCCCGCCGGCCCGCGCAGCCCCCTCCCCACGCGCCGCCGC